AAATTCTCAAGCAAGCGATATTGCATAGATCTGGTTTTTCAGAGGAGAAAAGAATACGCGATCTTTTATCTAATGTCACGGCTGAAGATACCAAACCATCGCAATTACTACGAAGAATGCAACAATTATTGGGCGATAATGATATATCAACCACGGTATTCCGACAAATGTGGCTGGACAAACTACCACCAGATGTAGTACGAATTTTAGCTGCATTGGCGGACGATATGGATATCCAGAAGCTTGCGACAATTGCGGATAAAATAACCGACACGGCACCGATTAAACATATTTCCGCAACTAACACAGGGGATGGCCTTGTGCCAGACATCGATCGACAAATACAAAAAATATCTACAGACCTGCAAGAAATATCCATACAACTACGTGAGCTACAGAATTCTCATGCAAGCCGACGCGATAATTGTTATACCAAGCGTAACAAACAAAATTGGAGATCAAATTCTCGGCACAAATACCAACGACGACGAAATGGCTACCAAAACGAAAAAATGTTGGTACCACGAAAAAATTTGGCGCGCACGCTAACAAGTGTAGACAACCCTGTTCATACAAGAAATCACCAACCATCAAACAGGAGGGAAACGGACATCCTAGCATTCAGTAGAGACGTTGGATGCCAGACAATTCAAGACTAACCGTCTCTTTTACATTTACGATAAAACCAGTGGGTTGAATTTTTTGGTTGACACCGGCGCCCAAATCAGCGTCTTACCTCAGAAGAATTGCAGTAGACAACTTCTAACGAAGAACACAGCGCTGAAGTTGCAAGCGGCAAATGGCACACCCATCGCTACATACGGTGAAAGAACCCTAACATTAGACATAGGTCTAAGAAGAGAACTCACGTGGACATTTATAATCGCAGATGTCTCGATGCCCATATTAGGAGCGGACTTCCTGACGCATTACGCATTATCAGTGGAACTCGCATCTCAAACACTAACTGACACGAGTACGAATGTCAAACGCTGCGGTTTCATTTCAAAATACTCGACAATCGGTCTGACGAATATTATACCAACAGCCAATGGCTACGATGAGATAATACGTCAGTACCAATCACTGCTAACACCGTCATCACGCAACGAACCCGTTAAACACCATGCTACACACAGTATTAAGACAACTGGTCCCCCAGTTCATTCCCAACCACGTAGGCTTCATCCTACCAAACTAAAAATTGCACGAGACGAATTCGATAATATGCTTAAACTAGGCGTAATTCGCCCTTATAAAAGCCCTTATGCCAGCCCTCTACACATGGTTACAAAAGCAGACTCAATCAGTTGGCGTCCGTGCGGTGATTATAGGCTATTGAATGCCCAGACTGTTCCGGACAAATATCCAATACCACACATAAAGGATTTCGCATTATCGCTGGAAGGTGCAACAGTCTTTACCAAGCTCGACCTTAAGAAAGCTTATTACCAAATCCCAATCGAAGAAGATGACATTCAAAAGACTGCCATTACTACCCCTTTCGGACTATTCGAGTTTACGAGAATGCCCTTTGGGTTGCGTAACGCGGCACAATCATTCCAAAGGTTGATCGACGAGGTGCTACGTGGTATGCCTTACACGTACGCATACATCGACGATGTACTGATAGCAAGCAAATCCCATGCTGAACATCAGGAACATTTACACGCAGTTCTAAAACGCCTGCAACATTACGGACTGAAATTAAACATCGACAAGTGTATATTTGCTGTACCACAATTAACTTTTCTCGGACACGTCATAGACCAGCAAGGATTGTCCCCCTTGGATCAAAAAATAACAGCAATCACAAATTATCCCCCACCTTCTACGTTGAAGCAATTGAGGAGATTTTTGGGGATGGTAAATTACTATCGACAATTCATACCAAACTGTGCGTCGATATTATTACCACTAACAGACATATTATCTCAACGAAAAAAAAAAAGAACTCACAGATTACATTATCGAAAGACGAATTAGAGTCTTTTAAAGACGCGAAAGAGGCATTACAAAGATGTACAAAGCTGACGTATATCAATTCATCTGGAAACTCCAATCTTACCCTCACAACGGATGCATCGGCCGACACGATTGGCGCCGTACTGCACCAGATTACCAACGGTATAGAGAAACCCCTATCTTTTTTCTCGCTAAAGTTGAATACTACACAGAGAAAATATAGCACTTTTCGAGAGAACTACTGCAGTATATTTGGCAATACGTCACTACCGACACATTTTAGAAGGAAGAGATTTCGTAATCCTCACCGACCATAAACCACTAACATACGCATTAAACGCAAAGGCTGACAAACTGAATCCGCGTGACCTCCGATACTTAGACTACATCGGCCAATATACGTCAGATATTCGGTATGTAAAAGGTCAGCATAACACTGTAGCGGATGCATTATCAAGAACCACACTTAACACATTACAGTCACAGACACTGGATTTTGACACACTCGCCGAAGAACAAGCGAACGATAATGAACTACCGTCAGTACAGGAAGATACTTCACTTAAGATCGAAAAAAGACCTTTACCTTTTACTAACAAACTTGTTTATTGTGATGTTTCTACAGGCAATCCTCGACCCTACTTACCTCTTTCAAGGAGAAGATCGATCTTTAATCACTTCCATTCACCAGCTCATCCTGGAGCGAAGGCTACGCTGCGGATCATATCCGACAGATACGTCTGGCCCGGTATGGCTTCAGACGTGAAGCAGTGGTCCCGCACGTGCCAACGTTGCCAGGCAACAAAAATACATCGACACACCAAAGCGCCATCATCAAGTTTTGCGACACCAGATGGACGATTTACTCACATACACGCAGATTTGGTGGGTCCACTCGAGAAAATAAATGGACAGGAATATATCCTAACAATTATAGATCGCTTTACGCGATGGCCAATAGCTGTACCGCTAACGTCGATAACAGCAGAAGCGGTGGCGAATGCGATTTTTCATAACTGGATTTCTATTTTCGGATGCCCTGCGGTTATCACAACCGACAGAGGTCCTCAATTCCAGTCAACTCTGTTTAACGAATTTGTCAACATCCTGGGTATAAAACATATCTCCACTACGGCATATCATCCATGCAGCAACGGCCTAGTAGAGAGATTTCACCGACAGCTCAAGTACGCAACGCGTGGGTAGATAAGCTACCATTTGTGATGCTTGCGCTACGCAACACGATTAAACTGGATCTCAAATGCACTAGCGCAGAACTAGTCTTCGGAAAAACAACGACACTACCAGGACAAATTTTCCATAACGAAACGAATTCTACCCCGACTAATTACTTCGTGGCCGACCTCAAGAAAAAAATGACAGACATTATATATACGCCTACACGAGTTTGTAGAAAACCTTTCTACGTGCCGACAGATTTACATTCGTCAGAATATGTTTTCCTGCGGCACGATACAGTACGAAAACCGTTAACGCCAAACTACACAGGCCCACATCTAGTAATATCCAGAACACCCAAATACTTTACGATCGACATCGCTGGTAAACAAAACACCGTCAGCATCGACAGACTTAAACCAGCATATTTACAGTGCGACGACACAGATCAAACAACAACAAAGACGACAGCAACAGAACAAACAGATACGCAGACAACAAGTACTGATACGACTAAACCAACACAGTCTACTCGCACAAAATCAGGTAGACATGTTCACTGGCCGACCAAATATCGAACCTACGTAACATATTAATGCTCATTGATCATGGCATTAATCTGGGGGGAGGTATTGTGGACTCTTCCAATATCCTCACCTTTCTAACCTAAAAAAAGGCACAGTCCACATCATACGCCTACACGTACAAAAAAACCTCAGCCAATAGAAATGGCGAGAATCGAATCAAGCAATTCCATTGGTCAATCGTTTTCTGAAACAGGAATTGCGCCAAAACGAGTTGAGCCACTTTTGGAAACCTGTAAAAAGTTATAAATAGGAAAGCCAGACAGCCCCATTCAGTCAGTCTAGCTAACTCACCGAGCAATTGCCTAAATACTCCACGACGTTTTGAACCATAATTTTGCCGCGCTTTTCAAAGAACATTCATTGACTCACTTCGAACATTCGATGAACGACTCTTGAAACTTTTCACTTAATTTCTTATGCATATTGATTTATAATCATTACAAAAATAAGAAATACGAAAAGCTTAATACAAATACAAAATACGATTAAGGGTAGACTACTTTGACAAACTTTTTTGCAAAAACTCTTAATTTTATTATTACAATCTTTGATACAAACAAGAAAAATAGCAAACATTACGATACAAGAGACATTAACCATTTCAGCATACACATACAATTTACGCACGCAACTCATACAAATATTATTCCAGTTTGTAAATGTTTAATTGTATATAAATGTTGTATTGTTTTGATCTATATATGTCTCTGATTTTTTTCCTTGTTTGAAATATCCGATTGTTTGTATATTTGTTTGGGACGCGGTCAAACACGCAACCATTAATAACAAATCCTTCTGATAAATGACACAAAAGTCCCAACAAGATCTTCCCTTCAGCCAGCAAGAACTCCACTTTTTGCTCTAACCATCTCTCTCCTATGATTGACAGCTGACTTTCTCTTACCACCCCTCTGCCTCTCAACTGACAGCTTGTGACTGCTCTTATCTAGAATGCAGCCTAACTATATAATCACTTGGTTGAAATTCCCCAGTTTCCAGCAAAGTGTCACTAGATCACGATAGCTTTTATTTATACATTCCGTTTCCATTTTCCTACTTAATGACATTGTAATTATCAATGCAACCACTCAAACAAAAAGTTTACTGTTAGTTATCAAAAGAAACTCCAGCACTCCAGGCACCAATAAAATCATTCATAGTCCATTGTGGGAGATCTAAGTCAACAGAGTGGTGGGGGGACCCATTGTGTCACAATAGTATATTGAAATCAAATTAAAGTATCACAAGAAGAAAAAAAAATTTAAATACCTGTGATGTTTTGGAATGGCTTTGGTAAAGACGGTCGTAAGCATTGGCTTTTTTCTTGGTATCTCTATTAATCTTCAACAGTTTTTGCAACTCCTCTCTTATGGCATCAGCTCCAATGGTTACATACTGAAATAAAGTTTTTATAAGATGAGAAAGAAACTTAACGAGATGGGGGAAAGAGAGATGGGGGAAGGAGAGATATGGGAGGAAGATAGAGAGATGGGGGGTTCTTAACAATAGTTCAGTTTCCCTTGTTTTCCTTAGACCTGCATTGAGATTTCACATCAGATTAACACTCCTTGAATAGCTTGCATTTTCATGGAATTACACATTACTTAAGTCATTATCACTTTTTTTTTTCTCTTATCCATTTTTGCTCATGCTAAAAGGAAACAGAAATACAAGACAAAAATAGGGAAAACACAGACACAAAATGGGCTCCATGATTTTGTGTTTGCTGGAGGTAGACAGCTGCTGGCGTTAATATCACTAATCCTACTATTGATGATGTCTCACATTTGTTGACATATTGTTTTAAAATTATCTAAAAACAAATAGGTGCTGAAAATTCAAAAAATAAATATGCAATCCATTTTGTTTATATATATATATATATATATATATATATATATATATATATACATACACACGTGTGTGTGTATGCATATATGTGAGCATCATTTTTCAGTAAAAAGACATTTTACTCCCAAATTTTATGTCAAAATCTGTTTGTATTATATGTATAAGCCATGTGAAAACATATTTAAATATGTATGCATAGTTAAATTCATCTGAACTTGTTAACAACAACAATATAATAGATTTTATGTGTGCAATGCACTTGACCAATCAGAAGGCTTAATATTAAGATTGGTTTTTCAATTTTCAATAAAACAATAGTGAAAACAATGAGAATTTTGTATGTTCTGAACCAAACTAAATAACCGCAAACATTTTTTTTTGATTTACAGACCACTGCCCACCTCTCACAGACCAGCATGGAATCACACCAATCTCAATACGCATCAAAAACACAGATGTGATACGTACCTCCTACTGCAAAAAGCATTTAAAAATGAGGGAAGCCCTTGTTATAAAGAAACAAGAAACTAACCCTTAATAATATTAATTATGAAGTAGCCATATTTGGAAATTAAGAATATATCAGCAACAGCAATTATATGCCATTTATTATAATAGTACTAGACCACCCATAAATCCATTAGGTTTCTTTTAAAAGCAGTTCATAGTATAAAATGGCAAGGTAACAATATTATCAAATTTTTTTTAATAATTATACATTTTAATTTGTATTTAAAGACTATAAAAGATTTTTTGTTCCACTGTAGTTCATAGTTAACACATTGCATGAAAATTTAGAGCAATAGCTTAAAACAGGTATAGTTTTTTTTTCAAAATAATAAGTATATTTTTTTATTAATTATTAAATAAGTAAAACATTTTCCTGCCTGAAAACAAATGAAAAGCATCAAAAACACCTTAAAGCAAGTATAAAAATAAATTATTTTACGATATCAATTAGATATATGTTTTAGTTCTTTACATTAAGAGAGATTTCTTCTATAAAACGTATTTTGAATACAAAACCAATAATAGTAAAGACAGTAAAAGAAGGTTTACTGTTCCACTGGGCTTCATAATCAACACATTGTGTGAAAATTTGGAGTATAGTATGTATAGTCTTTTTCAAAATAAGCATTTTTTTTTTTTTTTATTATTATACGTTTGTTCCTTGCATTTATTTCAAAATACTTAATGGCAGCAAATCAAATGCATCTGTTTATTTAATAATGTTGTTATAATGTATTATGAATGTTTATTATTTTTCACACACAATAGTTGGAATGCAATATGCAAATGTTTGTTTATAAACGTGAATTGATATTAAAATGTGTATCAAAAACAAAAAGAATTTCCTAATAGAAAATACCATAAAAACAGCCCTAGCTCAAGAACCCCTTGTCAAATTTTAAAAGAAATCTAGCAGGAGTTAAAGATACAACCTGCTTCTAAATTAGTTGGTATATTATGCATCATCTAAGCTGTATCCAGGGAACACACATACATACAAGATTAGAGTTTTAGCATTATATAGAAAGAAGTAAAAAAAAAATCTAATCCTTGAAAAGGCGGTAACAGTTTAGCCAAAAGTGCTCGGAACCAACAAACATTTGTATAATTTTTAAATTCATTAAGTTCAGAAAAGGCATTACTTGTAAATATACAAGAAAAACAAATAAAATGGGTCAGTCTTGTTCACCAAAATATGTATTAATTAGGAATTACTGGACATATACATAAAATTTATATCCATACTGAAATAATCCTATCATTGACAGGTTTTTATGCTAGTAATAGATATGACTATTTAATAATGTATTTTTGAAAGAATCCTTGGCTAACTTGGACCATCATGCCCAAAAAAAAAAAAAAAAAAAAACATATCAAAAGGATGGATTTTTTCATTGACACTGCTATTATTTTAACTACCTTCACTCCTCAGCAAAGTTTGTTTTAAAAAGTGAGGATTGGAATTGTAATAGAACGAAGATATGATGAAAGTGAACTCATACATCTTCAGAATTGACAACAAAAATAAACACTATTTATTTATCAGATAGTGTAAATAAACAATCATATTTTACTAGAATGGTTGGCTAATTACCAATCGATCAAATTTTATAAAATGGCAAATAATAATGAATTTCTTATGGTCAGTTCAGATATTTTAATAATTTAGTAAATGTTTATAAATTTATGAATAAAAAATATTTACATATTTATTTCAATATAAATTCACAATTATTGCATTAGTTTTAATTGTATTAGCTTTTAGAATGTTGTACATATAAAATTATTCTTGTAAATATATATTTTAATAGTGTTTAATTTTTTTGTCGTAAATTCTATAAAAAATGTATGATTTCAATTTCATGTTACAATTTTAATCATTTTTTAAACAACAAACATTGCCGAAGATGGAAGGTAGTTAAAATAATAGCAGCAGCAATGGAAAACTGACCTTTCAACACGTTTTGTTTTTTTTTTTGCGAGCATGAAGGTCCAAGATTGCAAAATCCTCACTATACATCTCAAGTTTTTAACTGAATAGCATTTCAAATAGAGTAAAACGATTTTTAGTTTAATTGTCAGGTTCAAATCAAAAAATCTGGTTTACTTACTGGGCCAGGTCTACACACTGGATGTTCTAATCGGGTATCAAGCGCTCTATTATAAATAGCAAGAGAATTATATCGATAATGCTCAATAAGTTCCACTACAGAATCAAACGTTAATGGTTCCACAAATCCATATTTGTTGGTTTTATGATAAATTTTTATCAATTTATTGCTGCCTCCTTTTCTGTAAAAGGAAAGAAAATATTGATGTGAGAAGAGAGAAAAAAAAATATAAAACATCAACTATCATCCACCAATAAAACAAAGCAACAACATCTAAATACATATAATAAACACAATTTGGGTGCTTTGACGTGATGTAATGGTTAGCAAGCTGGTACTCGCTAAATCCCTTACAGAATAACAAGTTTGATCCTCATCGAGTACTCCATACTTTCAATATTGTGCCAAACCTGTGCTTAGAAAATCCTTATAATAAAATAAATTATTTTATTTCTTTTACGAAATTTCTTCCTAGCAGACTACAATAGCCACAGCTACTTAAAATCTATGCAGATTCCTTAAAACTATATATCCTTAAGAAAGGATACGTCAATACCATAATATAGTCTAAAAAATTAATTTAAAAAAAAAAAAAAAAAAAAAAAAAAAAATTATTATAATTTTGCTGATATAAAATTAAACTATCACATAAAATGAAGTGCAAAATGTCGGAATTTGTTCCAGCAAAAATTTTAATTAACTTGTGTTTTAAGAGGTTTTCTCATTTTATTTCAAATGCAACTGTATGATGATGAGTATTTTTTTTTGATTGATCTGTTTTTTAAGCCTTATCAATATTTTATAGGTTATTTTAAACTGGTACTTAAAGAGGTAAGAGAACTTCTATGACAACTTTTCTATTTGTAGAACAGGTATTTGGTTAGTTTATATAAATCTGCATTACAATAATAAACTCTTTAAATTACGTTTTTCATACTTACATTATTAGTTATTATGTAAAGTATAGTCATATTTTAAATTATTGTTATCATTATAAAAGTATTTAATGATAAATTACATGTACTTCTCAAAATTTTCTAATACAAAAAAAAAAAAAAATTTAAAAAAAATAGAGATTAACAAACCTAAGGGTCAGAGTGTAGTCACCAGGCGTAGAGGCATCTCGGACCAGAAAGGTTCCATCCAAGGCATCCTTCAGCTTCTCATTTACCTCTTCTCTACAAGTAGAAATATAAGCATTTATACATTTATATATATAAAAAAAATTGTATAAGTTTTACATCAATACCAGTTTACCCATACTATAAAACCAATTGCATTGGTTATATTTTTAGCACAAGTAATCAAGAATTTTATCTATATAATTATCAAATATACAAAAATAAATAAATAAATAAAATTGTGCTTTTTAAATTCTAAAAATATCCAATGAAAGTTAAAAATAATATATTAGTAGCCTCAACTCCCCTACTTTTAAATGAGATATTCCCTTGTCATGGCATATTTACTTAATGGCAACTTGTTGCTATAATAGAATACCTCATTTCTAAAAAGGGGGAGATGATATAGTATCATTGATGAATATATAAAGATACATTGTGTTTTATATTTATAGAAGAGATAATAGCAAAATTTGTCCTAAACCATGAATTTGATTTTATAACAGACACAAATAATTAAATTTTGGTGTACAAGATCAGAAGAGAACTAATCACAAAAAAAAATTAAGAAAAAGTAGAATAAGACAATAAAAAATAAAAATAGTAAAAAGTATTTCACTTTCATTTTACAAGGAGAAAGTCGCAACAAAAAGTTATTTTCATGGAGTAAAACTGAATCAAACAAAGTTATTAAGCAATATTAAAATTTAGTAATTTAGAGAAAAAAAAAAAAAAAAAAGGAACTTACCTTTTAGGAACTGAGGGGGCGAGGTGATTGAATTGAGAAAGTATGGTGTAGGGTAAGAGATTAAACATCAATTGTGGTGACCACAACCGGCTGGGAGATGTGGATACGGGTGGTGGTTATAGAAGTATCAAGATTGGGAGGGATGCTTGCTCAAATTTTTTTTTTTTTTAATGGTTACAAAATATATTCAGACATTGTCAAAGTAAAGGAAGGAAGTAGAGTTCAAAAGGCTAGCGGTCTACATAGCAAACAGGGACAAAAGTTTTAAAAAAATTGTTACATTCTCATTGAGACCAAAATTTGAGAGAAACCCAAGAAAATCTAACCTTTACTTTTCTAACTCCAACCTACAATAATATAGCTTCTAAAACACTTTAACCAACAATAGATTTTATGTTCATAAAGATTCTGCCATTAGACAGTGGCACCCACAAGGAAATTCGTACACAGAACATGGACCCCACAGGTCTGGTTATTTTTTTAAGGCTGTGTGTAGCATAAATGTTTCTATACCAACCAATCCATTAAACCTGGGAGATACTTGCATGACCCAACAGATAGGATGATGTAAGGTCACAAGGTCAAAGAGTTCCTGAAGGTGGACAAGCAGGTAACAGAAATCTGCCATACAATAAAGGCTGGCTAATAATCAAGCTGCTCGGATAGTCTGTTCCTGGGTTTTCTGTAAAAATTACAATTCTTAGGCTCTATAGTTTTTAGGCTAATACAAGTCTTTGCATTCTACAGAGCTTTCATCTGATTTGATCCCTTTCAAATATGTCAGAGGTACAACAATTATATGAAGAAATAAGTAATGGAACTTATCCTAGAAAGGAGTTGTCAATATTTTTTTTGTTTTTTTGTTTTTTAACTAGACAATACCTGCCAAGGTAAATCCTCTTGGCATCAGTTTAATTGACCCCTTCTTAAAAACTTCAAATACCTCAGTGTATGAATCGTGTATAACAAATTTAATGTAGGAGATAAGGAAATTGAACATATAACAGGCTGCACTAAGTGTAGTTATGCTCAACACAAAAAGGCTACTACAAAACCAAAACATTAACCTAAAAACTTGAGTCATGTTCTTAAATAAACTTTTCAGTATCTGCTTATATTTGCGAGATGAGGTATTATGTACATTATTTACATTATTCGGACTATTGTCCTCATCTCTGTCGCCATATTACAACGTTTCGGCCCTTGTACGCTCCAGCCTTCTTCAGGTGGTTGGAATGTCAAACTTAACCCTTTATTTCACTCACTTGGGTAGACTGTTCTAGTTCTACATGCCATGTTTAATGGATGTCAGTTATCAGTTATCTCCTGTTAATTTCCCTCTGAAAGTTCTCCACTGCCTTAACCGAACTCTTTGGGTCCTGTCATTGGATCTAACCAACGCCTTTATCCACAGTGCCATGTGTCCTTGAGGACATCTGTGTATGAATTTTTGGGTATTATAAACCTAATGTCTTCAGCAACAATTTTTACCAGTGCTCATATTGCAATTTTTTGCTGTTATCATTGCATGTTTTTACCAGAGCTCTTATTGCAACTTTTGTTGTTATTATCGCTTTTCTCTGGCACTCCTTATTACTGGTTCCCATATTGTATTCATTTCTATGCTTGGTCAGCTCAGGAGATTTTTGTGGCCAAGCATATGTGCTGATTCCTTAAGTTTACAAATTTTCCAATGGTGTTCCTTATCTATGATCTCAACCTGATCCCACAGTGAGCGGTGATCTCCCTTCTCTCTCAGCCATGCCTGATTTTTCCACTTCCTCTCATGTTACAGCTTTCTGGTGTTCTTGAAGCCTTACCTTAAGGGGGCAGCATGTCTCCCCTTTATATTTCTTTCCACAGCTGCACGGGATAGCGTACACACAGTCATTAGTCATGTTATGGGGGGGTGTCTTACTCGTGAGAGATATCTGTGTAGTGTAGTCAAGCTTTTGAAATTTTCAGATGAAGACTTTCATATGGATGTCATGAATGGCATCAAACACATTCAGAAATATCTAAACTGTCAGCTGTATACAGCCATTTTCTCAGATCAATGGTTAAAAAATGTCTTCAGGGGAATAATCAGATCACTTGAGGATGACAACTAAAATGGACAGCAGATGTAACTCAAAGAGAAAATGACAATCAAAATGCTGAACTTCCACAATAATTCAAATAAAAATTTAGGAAGCTTCCATCAGTACTGGAAAGATCTATAGCAGTTATTGGACTTGAGAAAGCTATTTTCTTGGAGAGAGAAAAAAAAAGATTTTAATAGGATTTCATAATTTCAACTGAAAGTAGGATTGGCTGCTCAGTTCATGAATGCAGAACGTTTCCTTTTAAGGAAACAGTTAATATGTCTATATTTTCGAGATGAGACCTACCCCAGCAAGCAAAATAAAGGGTTCAGTTCGACATTCCAACCACCTGAGGAAGCCAAAAATGTTGGGATAAATATGGCAACGAAGATGAGGACGATAGTCCAAACAATGTAAATAGTGAAACAGTTAATGTTATAATTAGCATTTTGCCTAAAGTTAATATTCCCTTGATTATCCAACATATTTCACTGAAATTTTCACTTTCCAAAATTAGTTTAGATCTGCATCCTTGTGTATCCAAAGCTAACAGAAGAGTTATTTATGAATTATTTTTATATTTAAAAAAAAACAACAAAAAAACCTTTATTTTTAAAAAGCACATGGCTTCCAAGTCTAAATCAAGTCTTGGTCATTTTAAATTGGATGCTAAATTCCTTTATCTTTATAGAATGGATAACCCTTTTCCTTTTCTCAAGGGATTTAAATCAGTCGTTCTATAAAAAATAAATAAATAACAGTAATCTCTTTAAATGAAAACTATACTGCTAAATTCCTTTGGGAATGTTAATGCAAATATGTTTATCAAATACAAGACCTAATATTCAAAAAATTACCAAATTATCAAGCGCAGGTTCCACACAAGCATACTTAACTATACAATGTAATGCCTTAAAAATAAATGCATATTTTAGGAGACGACTTTATTATTTTCAAATTTCATGACTAATTATTAAAATACTAAGTGAACTCCAGAGTTTTCATTATTCTACAAGTGCACACTGAAATAATAAAAAAAAAAAGTTGAGAAACACTGGTTTAGACCTATAGAAAAAGGGTGTCAGTTTAAACTGATGCCAAGAGGATATGGATTAAAAAAAAAAAAAACCACATTTAACTTGGAAGTACAAACTAACTTGGAAATATATTTTTCATAATTTATAATGTAAAATAATTCCAACTGTCAAACTATTTTCATGGTTCAATGCCTGAAAATAAACAGTATAGTAACAAGTAACAAATCTTCACAAATTCCTACCTTGATAACTCGCCCCAATACCACTCAGCATCTTTCAATTCATATTTTGCTGTAGCTGCTGGCGTATCACCTACAAAGAAAAGAAATAATAAACATTCATTAAAGCATTGTGGGGAGGGGAAGAGATGTACAAATGAAATGAACAACATGTAGATACAGAAAGGATGGTACTTACAAGGCCGTTTTGGTATTGGAGGAGGATTACGGATGGTTGGTTTTTCCACACCCCAATCACCATAAGTGAGCAAATCTTCAATAATATCAATATGCAACTTTGTGTTCTCAACTATCTCCCTGAAAAGGTTCAATGAAAGGAGGACTTTCATGTACCTGCTTAGAGGAGCCATTTTATAGACTTAAAAAGCAACCATGTACAAATAAATAATATTTCAAATGTTTACAACTTGTAAAAGAAAAACAAGAAAAAACAATAAAATTAGGTCAACATTTATCATTATTCAGATTGTTGTCCTCATCTTTATTGCCATATTCACAGCGTTTCAGTCATTGTATACTACAGCTTTCTTCAGGATTGTAATTTTGCCTGAAGAAGGCTGGATGGGCAAAATGTCATGAAATTGGCAATAAAGATGAAGACAACAGTCAAAACAATGTAAATAATTACAATACCTCATCTTAGAAATATAGACCAACAATTATAAATTAAAAAAAAAAAAATAAAAAAATAAAAAAAACTTTGAATCAAAATACTAAGGACACGAACAAATAAATATTGGCATGGAACAAAAATTAATAGCAGTTTTTTAAGTGAATTTCAAAAACTATTTAGATATTTGTAAATATATTTATATTAACTATATGTGCCATTTTATTCTACTACCATTCACCATCTTTGAAGCAGCTTCATGATTCCATCCTGTCGGAATTTGACATCTTTTTGAGTAAAGAACTGGTCTAAGTGGTTTTTTACAGGCTTCCAGATAATTAAAGCTCTTCCTATTAAGGCTGGTGTGGGCATGATGATAAACTACATCTGGCAGAAGGTTTTGAGGAATGTGGAACCACCTCTTAATTGCTGTTGTTCCCAGGTTCACCCTGACCTGGGGTGGTAGCACCTGTTAGGGTCCCAGCTATGAGCAAATAGTGAACCCCTAAAACTGGTGTCAGAAAACTATGAAAGTATAAGAATACATTTTTATAGTAAGAGGGATTCTAGCAATAGATTTTAATAGTTACCAAAAAAAATTAAACAATTCCCAAGAAAATTTATTTTCAGCAACCCATAAGGAGTTGATATGACTTAAACTGATTCCCATAAAGAGAACTTTGTAAGGATGAAAATAAGTGGTAATCCAAAGATTCAATGTCAGGTTAGTACTGAGACAAATTATGCTGGGTCTGCAAAGAGGCGTGAGGCCTGGTGTTGTCCTAATGGAAGACTACACCCTTCCAATTGAACACTTTTCATTGATTGCTGCTTTGTCCAATTGGGAAGAGTACTTGTCTAAATTCAAGGTCTGATTTTGTGCAGGAGCTTGTAATACATAATGCACTTCCAATCTTACCATAGCATCACCTTCTTCAGCTGCAAAATGGCTTTTGAATTGGTTAATGGTGGTTCATTTTATTCACCCAAAACATTTATCATAGTTTATCATAAACAATCCATTTTTCATTGCCAGTGATCATTCTTTTCAAAATTAGGTTGTTTTGTTGCAATTGTTGAATCACAGATGGAAATCAACTCAAACATCATAGCAGTTAATGTATCCAAGTGCTTTCAAATACCTTACAGTACTGTAATACTTTTGCAAGGTCCTGTATCCTGCAACATCCTGTGCCATGGATTATTTTAATCAGCATTTTGATTTGGTCATGACCAAGACAGCAAACCTGCTAGAATATCCTTGTCTTCCAGATCAAAATTTCCACTTCTGAACCTAGCTAACCACTTACCAACAGTATTTTCAGCTACAGCACCATCTCCATAAATGGCATACATTTCTTTGTTATTTGTACAGTATTTTTACTTTGCAGAAAGAAAAGAGCATATTTTCACTTTTAAAATCTAAAAACATTTAAAATTCAAAATCCACATACAAATGGTATAGTAAGGTCCAATGAATTGTCAATTTTCAGAATATAAATTTCAGTCATGTGCGAAACAAAATCACATGTTCAAACACCACATATTGAAACACACTATGAACTTTTGTTCCAACTCAGTACAAATAATGCATGAAAAAGATTTGTATCAATTATAATTTTTGTTTATGTTAGGCATTTATGTTGACTTCATTGAAACAGAAATGTTATTAAAAAAAAGAAAAAAAAATTAATGTAAAAGGCATCAGCAGCTAATATGAATTGCTTACTCTTAACTAGGTATCTCCAATAATTCGCTAAAAAAAAAAAAAAAAAAAAAATCAGTATAGCATAATGATAAAAGACCCCAAACTTAAAAAAAAGTTTTATCATTAAAATGTTTGTTATTATTAAGAGGAAAGAACAAAGTATTTTTTAATTATTTTAAAAAAATTTTTCCATCTTTCTAACACGTTCTAAATTTGGGTCAAAAATCTTTTTTTTTTTTTTTTTAAAACTTTGTACGACTTGTGGTAATGGCCATTTTAGTCTAGCAGTTTCCGGGGGAAAACCCATTAATTTGGAAATTCTTGCAAAAATCAAATAATTGAAACTTTCAAGACTTATTTAAAGATGAATGATTTTTGAAATTTTTATTTTTAGAAAATCTTGGTAAAAATATTTTCTTTTTACATCTGTTACCCCCCTATAACTTAATTTTATGAAATTTTCTAGAATTTCAAACAGTTTGCAAATTGTTTTATATTACTTATAAGCAGGACTCCTTGGAGAAATTAAATCATCAATTTTTTTTTTTTTTTTTTCACAACTACTGCCAACTTTTTAAAAATCTCTTCTAAATCATAAAATAAAAACTGCAATAAAACTATCTAATTATCAAATTAGATCGGCTTTTATAAATAATATACATTAAGGACATTATTATCTGAAGAAAAAAAAATTTTTGATGTTTGCATTTTTCTTTTAGTTTTTTTCATTTTTCTTTAATCTTAAGAAATGTTTTAAAAATTCTTCCAAACAGTGTATGGGATAGGTTAAGTTTTTAAGTGAAAACTATATTTACTAAGCAAAAATTAAAAGCTTAATACAAATAATGCTATCAAAACTTTTTTTTTTTTTTGTGTGTCAAAATGTTATATTTTTTTTAGTATGATATCTCATAAGTGACATTATGGTTAAACGGTCACATGTTTCAAGGATTGTCTACTCCTTGGGGAAAGCCCCTTGACATATAAAGGTCTTATTGCACTCTCAGTTATTAAATTAAAAATTAAATTGAGATAATATAATTATCTCATTTATCAATTTTAACAATAACAGAGTGAGATATTTTAATTAACATAATAATAATTTTATTAGTTATTATTTCAGTTATTAAATTAAAAATGTAATAACTTAATGTAATATTAATAAAATTATTTATCATTATCTTAGCTATTAAATAATGAAAGAGATAGAGGTAACTCAATAGTGTAAGAAATTTTTATAGTATTTTAAATTATAATAAACAAAAAAAAAAATAAAATAAAAATGTGATATCAATTTTGGTGCACAGTACTAAACCTGTCAACACATTCAGCCATCAAATTATGATGGAGACGTGAAAATAATACACCAAGGTCAAGAAATGTTTGTCTAGAACATTTTATACTATAAGTAAGTGATATTTCTTTCAGAACAGATTAATTTAATTTATGAAAGTAACATTTCAGAAATTTACATTTTATTTTAGCAGGATTTTCAAAAAGGAAAAAATAAGTTTTGTCCAAATTTCTCTAAAAAAGTTAAAAATGGCTGTTTCGATTTGTTTTTCAGAAGAATAGAGTAGAAATCATTCAAAATTCTATTTGAAATACACCACAGTATTTTTTTTTTCTGGAATTAGAAAATTTAATCCTTTAGCTTTCAATTGAAGCTGGGGGAAAGCTTTGAAAAGGATTTTTTTCTTTATGAAAAATACGTTTAAACCTTAGGTATATGAACTTTTGGAGGTACCTACTCTTAACATGTTAATAGGTTACAAGACATTTTCTACAAATTTTAATATTAAAAAAAAAAAAAAAAAAAAAAAAAAAATAAGAAGTCTATAGTAATTAGAACTCCACTTTAAAAGAAGTGCTAATATTAAGAGTGGCTGTGCCTGCATTCATAGAAGCTTCAGTGATGACCCACTGAAAATAGGATATTTTTGTGTGACAGGAATCAGTGAAATACCTCACCAGTTATACAGGGACTATCATTGTTTTCACTGCCTTCATCACCATGTACAAACTTGGATCAATACGCAATTCACTGCCAGGGCTTTAAAAAACCAAAAGCAGAGAAATGTTATCTGGTATCTTGTCAGCAGCTTTTAAGTAGTTAATTAATCTGTTTGTTTCATATTACAGAGAGAGATTGTAAATATTAGAGATAATGGGTGTTCCATTTTGGCTCAATTTTAACAACTGGCCACAACAAATATTTGAAATGCAAATATATGAAAAACTTTTCTCTGGATTGAAGATTTGATTGCTGTCTTAATCTATAAACATGCAAAGAGAAAAATATATTCGTACCACATAAAAGAATATCAGAAGAAATCAGAAAATGTCACTTAAAGCAACTAATGCTGTATGCTATTGTTTTTACATAATTGTCAGCTTTCCCTATTTTATACTTAGATAAATATTAATCCACTATCATCCTATTTTTGAAAGATGAGCATTAAAGTGTTATATGTATTTCTAAACCTATAATTAATGCCAGATTTTTTTTTTTAATTTAGAAAGTAATAATACTAGATTTTTATAGTTTTATAATTAATTTTATAGTGGGCGTGCCCTGGAGAGGGTATAGCTCTTCAAGAGCAGATCCATCATTTCTAGAGACCGATGGATGCCATATCATTAATGGGTTAAAGTATAGTTATTCATAGCAAAAAGATAACTAAAATTTACAAAAACCGCATCATCAATCCTGTGACCAGGTGTGGTCTTTGAGTTGCTTAGAGAACTTGACTACAAACCTGGGTTGAAAAGCCAAAGTATTCACCCATGGATAACACGTCTTGGCCAAGTAAACCTGACAGAGCCCATCCCTTGCCAAGTTAAAACACAGCCGATCTGGAGAGGGATGGGCACTAAGATCTAAATCATACGTACCAAGAGAAAAATATATTAGCACAAAAACATCACTGCTGGGAAAAGGGGATTTCATGTTTTGGAGAAATATTTAGTAACAACTAAGGGGAGAGGAGTAGAGTAGCTATGAGAAATAAACTTTAGTATTCCTCACAGTTCAACTTTTATTTGTTCACAAATACAAGGTGAACAGTTAAGCTGTAATGGTAATATACTTACATAATACGGTCCCATGGGGGCCGCAAGATGATGTGACAAAATACTTTTGACAGCTTATCAATGTCATCTCTAACACCAGATTCAAACTGCATTTGCCAAAGTCGACAAAAATGCGCCATCAAATACCGCAATATGGACACATGAGCAGCAGGCAGCGAATTTGCTAACTCCATAAGCTTTCCTTCATTATCAGAACCAGATTCTTTAAACAAGAAAAGAAAACACGATATAGTAAATAATAAAGGAATAACATTTTACATAAAAGAAACAGGAATATATCCATTGCAAATGGATATTAAATGCTTTCTCATATTCAGAGACTAAATCACATTTGAATAAAAATGCAAACCTCCACTTTCAGATTAAATTGTTACTGAAGACATTTTTTTCTAATTGTACTTTAAAAGTTTAAAACATAATTTTGTCCTTGGTTGATAAAGACTTAGTATAAAAGATAAAAATATAACCTCAAATGAATGCTTTGATTATTAACAGGATACGTTAGACTTTAAAGAAGTTTTAATTTTAAAACAAATACTTACTTGCTGCTTTGATAAAATATCCATAGCATTCAACTGGAATTATTGGATTAGGAAGCTCTCTTAAATACTTCTTAAGAGCTCCAGCAGTAGAATGGATATTAAATCCACTTATATCTACAAGCAGGGGATCAGAAGCTGAAAATGAAAAGAAAAAAGGGGCTTAAAGTGGGTCTTTGCATCTCTTGAAATGACTCAAAGTTAAGCAGAACATTTTAACTTTAAGCAAAAACCTTGTGGATCATATGTACTATAGTAAAAAAAAAAAACATTTTCTTATAAACAAGATTAGTCAATAGTATTGAATTTTTTCCTACAAAAAAATGGATTACAAATTCAGCTCAAGATTAAAAGCTTTACAAAACTGATTTATAAAAAAAAGTACTTCAAAAAGATGATTTAAGCACACATTTATAGTGAAAAGTGTTTATCCTATAAATGGTTTGTAATATATAAATATTTAAGAAAAGAGTTCTCATACCAAACTTATTTTATTTAAATTAATGCCTACACTCATTAATTTTGCATATCACCAAGAGTTGTTCAGATGATTTTTTTGTTCTTTCTGTTTTTTGCCACATTTCAGGCAAACCAATCTTTGACTTTCATCAATTTATACAATCCATTTTGAAGGAGACAAGTGGATTTCTGTTTTCAAAGGAGTATCTACCAATTCACATTTTTTTTTTTAACAGTTAAGGGGGTAAGAGAGAAAGAGAGAGAGAGAGAGAGAGAATGACAGATCCCTTTCACTCATTCAGATTCTATATTTGGGGAGAAAACAATGAATCAGCTGACACATTAAAATAATGATAAAAACAATGAGATCAATAAAGCAAACTGTGAGAAATTTTGACCCTCAACTTTAAATAAAAATGGATAGGTCTATATTTTTTTTTAAGAAAAAAGCTTTTTTTGTTCATTTGTTTAATAAAAATTTTTTGATAATTACTTGTCCAGCTACTTATTTATACTTGAAATATCCACAAAAAATCTCAGTTTTCCAATCTGAATTTTCTGATGAATTGAAATTAAGCTAACGATTGAACATGCTCATGGCTTAACAACTCTAACAAAATATTACAAGAACAATCATAATATGAATGCTGATTGTTAAAGAAGTAAGGGAGTACAAATTAAAAGATTTGAAATTGACAACTTTTTTCCATTTCACTGAAATGGACATTAAACACAGGAGTGTTATCACCTCTTCTATCTTCCCCTCTTTCTTTCATTTTCCCACTGCAACTAAGTAGCATCTCTGATATGTCTTTTCTATCTTTTCCCAAGATCAAAACAGAATAGTATATTATTTATAAAGTATTGGTAGGGTGTATCATGTGTACATGTTGACTAAAGAACTAAAGGGATAAGCAGAATTATAAGAATTTTGCATTAGACATTTTAAATACATGTTCCATAATTATAGGGATTTAATTTTTACAACTATCAATTAATATTTTATAAACGATATATTCCATATTTCAGGGTTTTGTGACGTACGGTGGCAGTTAATAATTAAGTATAACTCAAGACTTCAATGTTAAAATAAAACAGTATTTAATTACAACCACAAATAGATACTTAAAAACAAAGAAGTAAAAGTCAACCAAAAATAATTAACCATTTCAGTGAATACCTTGTTAGTAGCGCAGCTCAACTTAATGTCTGGTAAATTCTAAATCAAAACCCAAATCATCAACGCACAATAATTCACACTAATTTGACTGGATAGTTCCACTCAATAATCACTGCAGTCAGTAGCCTGACACTGCTATTTATACACCTGACAGAAAACACATTCATAAGTCCAAAGTGTCACGCTCGAATTTCTATGTCGGTAGTTACTCATATTCTTCCTATGATACAGGGTATATTAGACATTTAACATTATAGTATTATGGATTTAGATTAACTACAAGTACTGGTAGCCTAGAGTGATTAGGTAGTTATTAATCTACTAGATAACTTTTCATATAAGACAAATTTTTTAAAATCATTTTCTAGTAAAAAAAAAAAAAAAAAAAGGTAACGGGGTTATAATCATAAAATATTGACATCAATTCTTATTATGATATCACAATCTGTTTTTATCCTTAATCAATTGCAGGTCCGAAATTTTTCACTTTAAGGCAACAGAAATTATATTTTTTAATTATTTCCACCAAAAATTATTCTATTAGACAAGTTCAACTAGAAAACTAATGACTAAATATTTTTGTTTATTTATAATCATTACATTAAATATTTTAGCTTAAATGAAAAAAGAATAAATTATCAGTTTCAATATTTCAGCCATTTAGGCAATTAAAAACATTTAGCCTACAATAGACTTTATATAATCCCCTCATTAATATGATATGCTCTAAAACATTTACCAAAGATAGCTAATTGATAAAACAAATGTTATACTAACCTATTTTTCCTTTGTTATTCTGATGCCGATAAATATTTTGAAACTATATAGGACAGGAGGGGATTTTCCTATTTTATAAAAGCATTACAATTAAGTTTTAATTTCAAGTAAATACAAATTGTTAACGCTTACTTACCAGAGTTAAGAGTTGACTTAAGTTCATTGATGTCTTCAGTACGAGCAGATATCCTATAAACATTCATAGCTTCGTCCTCTGCAAACAAAATGCAAATTACAAAGTCATTATGGAACTGAATAACAAAATCAGCTTAAAGAAAAACATGATGCATTGTTTGTAAAATATTTTTGCACTAACAATGTAAGCTGTTGTTAGCAAAGAGCTAGATTTTAATAAAAATAAGCCTAGATAATCTCTTCAGTAAACAGATTTGAAGACTAAAATATATTTTTTCATACCATTTTTCATCCAATACTAGGCCCAAGAACCACTCAAGGTAGAGACTTATTGAATAAGGTCATTGTAAAGGCATAACAAGAGGAGGTAAGAAATGCATATCATGGACATAGAGTAGATAACCTCTTCAAGTCTAGAGTCAAAGGTTAAGTTTGTAGTGGTTGGGAAAGCATCCTCTCAGGAGTGTTCCACAAAGTGACAATTCTGGAGAAGAAGCTATCTGAGTAGAATATATATATTAGTTAACAATATAAGATATGCATATGATATAGCATTGATAGCAGACACTGAAAGGAAACTACAAAAGCTCTTACAGAAGGTAGTGAAGGAAAACAAGAAGAAATGACTAAACATTAATTGCAAGACTGAATGCATGGTTGTTAGCAAGGGATGGCCCAACATGCAAATTACAAATTGGAGATACCAAAATCAAACAATTACAACAATTTAAATACCTTGGAAGTGTTTTAAGAGAGGACAGAAAATACTACACTAAAATCCAAAGGCACATTGGGATAGCAAAAGATGCTTACCAAAAGCTAAGCAAAGTATTAAGAAACAGAGAAATTTCATGAGAAACAGAGAAAAAAGTACTGAACTGTTATGCAATTTCAGTTTTCCTATATGGTAGTATAATGGACATGGTGGAGTAATGGATAGCAGCTCGGATTGAGGAATCTGAGAGCCCAGTTTGAATTCCAGTTGGATTCATTAAATTCATTTATATGCTATAATACCCTTGGGAAAGGTAGAAATCCTCTTCTTCCCCCACTCCCAGCTATGGGTAAATAGCAATACAGACTGGATTCTATAGCCTTGGGTGCCAACCAGTCTAGGAAAGAGTAAATCTGAATTCAAATACTGTATATAGCCCAGGCATAGCATATACTATACAGCTAAAGAAAGGATCATTTGTATTGACTATGACTTCAACTATGGTCGAATGGTGATGATACTGGACATCAAACAAAGAAGGGACTCAAAACAATAGAAATGGGGTTCTATGGAAGGATGCTGAGAGTACTATGGACCAAACATGTGAACAATGACAAAGTTTTAGAGAAAATGGAAACAAAAAGGACTCTTATACTTAATATCACAGAGACAGCTGAAATTTCTAGGCACATATTGAAGAAAGAGGGCTTAGAAAACTTGATGCTCACAGGACAGAGGAAAACAATGCATAACTTACTTAACGAGCTTGAGTAAATGGATGACAGAGAAAGGTTTAAGAGAGATAACAAAAAGAAAATTTATTAAGAGCTACAAAGGACAGGAAATTGTGGAGAGATATGATTACGTAACTCCTGAAGGGACATGACACATAGAAGAATAACAGACTGCATTAATAAAAATAATACAATTCACTAAAACTATACACCAGAGTTTCTGGTTGTAAATATGATTTGTCAATCCTAAATTTGGATGACTGAAAACCACAACAGATAAAAAACAGATTTATAATTATTGGTGAATTCAATCGGACAAGAAATAAATGAGTGAAGGGAATAAATATGAATGCAGGATATTTATGATTATCTCTCTCAAATTTAATTCATTGATGAATGAAATATACTTACTGTGATCGGAGCACCACTTCTCAATTTCATTTACACATCTAATTACTACAGGTGGAGCCTCTAGTTTAGTTCTTTTTAATTCTTCTGTCAAATCTAAACCAAAATATGTATCTACAAAACATAAAAAAATTTCTTTAAAAATCAAAGCTAAAAAGATTAAACCACATATTTTAAGATAAATTAACTTTAACAAAGAGGATAGATTTTAAACATTAAATTTATGAGAAGTGCTGAAAAGTTATTAGCTCAACCCACTTCCCAAATCGGTATCCTAATATCTGATCCTAGAAATAATGATCTTGGGAAGTGGATCAGCCAGAAAACTTTTCAGCACCAGTTTATATTCAGGCTTCAAAAAGCATATATTAATAATTCAGTTGTGATAACTAGAAATAATGATAATACAAATAATAAATATCAAAATGATACCAAGTTTACTTTGAGAAACTTGTTGGTCATAATTACAGAAACTATAATTTGAAAAAAAAAAAAAAAAAAAATTTACAAAAATTTGATGTGAGCATCTGAATGTCTTCAAAAAATTATTATTATTCACCCTTTAAATATTTGAGAAGTTTTGAAAATTGTGATGGATTTTTTTTCACTTGCTTTCTATTTACTTTTTTAATTTTGTATCCACATGCAATAAGCATTAGATGAATTTCTGGGGTTTACTAAAGGATATATTCTTACCTTTCTTCCAACTGGGTCACAAGAATTTAAGATTACAATTCTTATTTTATTGCAATTAATTTTTCAGTGTAAAAAGAAAAAAAAATTAAGATTAAAATATGACTATTAATTTCATGCTAAAAACTCCAGATAGAAATCCATTCTTCTCGAGTTTATTTAAATGTTGAAATTAGTCTGTTTATTTTTCTTTGTGTTTTTATTTGATTCTACAGGCATTTACTTGGTTCACAAACAGATAAATATTGGCCATTTATATATTTTTAACCATGCAAACAATTACTTGGTAAGTGGCCTCTTCTGGATGTGCTATGAGAGGTCATACTGTTCATCAAGGGATGCAGTCAGTGTATTCTTGGTCTGCACTAACAAAGCAGATTATTATTTTTTTTTTTTCTTTTAATTGAATCTTTATAAAACTTGATTAATTTTGAATAATTTTCTATCTAAGATTCCATAAAAAAATCATCTTTTTAAAAGAAAAATTTTTGTAGTAAAATTCAGTTAACTTTGAAAACATTTGTCAATTCAAAGTCCTGTAGATTATCCTAGTGAAATCTCATTAAAAAGACACCTCCCACTGCCAAAAACAAAAAAATAAAAACTCTTGCTTACTTTGAGTAAAACTAGGTCGCCTTATTCTTTCATATTTAGCAGAATTACAGCCTGATTGACACATCATAGAACAGCACCGATGGCAGCAAAAACCACATACTAATCAAAAGAAATTTCAAAACAACTTTTATCATACAAAGAATACAAAATCAACTAACAAATAATGGTTTTAGATTCATAAAATACTTTTTTATAACAAACAAAAAAATAAAAGATTTAGTTGAACATAATTTTCAAAATAATTAAACAGATCATTTCAAATGCCTTTCTGTACTAGCTTTTCAAGTTCTCACATGTTCTAATCAATTGTACTATTGGCTATATTTTTACATTTATTTTCAGCTTGACATCAGTATAGAAAAAAAATGCTATTAAAAACTTCTAATACACATTAATTTTTTTTTTATGACCCATTGATAAAAAAAAAAAAAAAAAAAATTAAAAATATGTATAAAATATGGGAATAGTACACACCAAAAAGAACATGATCAAACTCAACCATAAATTATATTTTTAAAATTTTGATATTCAGTAACATTTCTAAATTTCTTTAAAAGAAAGAAAGAAAAAAATTTTTTTTAATCCTTTCACCCCAAGCAAGGCAATAAAGCCGCTAAGACAAGGGGTTACTAAGTGTAAAAGAATATGAGCAAAAGAAAATATTAAGAAGAGAGAAAAATAAAAGAAAAGGAATTAAAACAAAAGATAACAATTGACATTGCATTTAAAATTTTGAAGTTGACTGGAAAAAAGAGTGAATTTGGGAGAATTCGTCAAATAGAGTAAAAGTAGTCCTGTATTCATTTTTGTTATTTTCCACAGGAACTTTAGTTTTTATTATCTTGAATTACCGTATATACTCGTGTAAAGTGTGACCCCCAAATTTTCACTTATAAAAAATGATTTTATCCTGTATCTCGTGTATCATGCGAGTTCCTTTTTCGAGAGACCAAATTCCAATAGACTAACCACTTTTCCTCTATCTCTTTATCCTGTTCTTCTAGTTAAAAAAGTAAAAGAGAATGATAAAAGTACTGTTAGTAAGGCTATACTCATTGTGTAAACACGTACAGCTATAAACAACTGGACAAAAAACAGCTAAACATCTTATAAATGTAAGCAATGGAAAAGATGCATATTCACTATGTATTTTATATGATACTAATATGTGAATGTTACAGGCATTATTATTGGATAAAGTAAAGTAAAACATCAGATTTATCAAAATCATATTTATTTTAAATACAGCTGTACTTTTTTACTACAGTAAATGGATATATAGTTTGGTCAATGGCATAGCCAGGGTCAGGAGTACTACAATAATTTTATATCTTGTGTATGATATGACCCCTTAAAATTAGGTCTTTAAAAAGTCACATGATATGCGAGTATATATGATACTCTTTTTTTTCTAGAATTTTTGCTGTATTCATTCATTCCTTCCATAGTGCTTTCCTTGATTCAGAATGTTTTATTCTTAACACAAGAGAAATTTTACCAGCAAACTTTCATTGAAAATTTATTTCAATGCTATGAAAACTATGAAAAAACTACTGCTTTTATATTCACATGTAGTTTTAAGTAGAACAAGGATGATATTCTCTGCCCATAATTTCTATAAAGTAAAAATGTCGAACAAACAAATAAAATCCTTCATACCTCGACACTGGAAGCCCTGATGCATTAATCCAAATAAAAATTTATCACAATATTGGCAACGCTGCATAGAAGAAAAGTTGTAATCACAAAACTGATGATCACAAGTTTGGGTTGAATCTAAAAGAAATGTAAATAAGCAATATTTTAAAAATTAAAAAATAACACAAGATCCAATAAAACTTTTTATAATTACTAAAATCTACAATCAACATGATACTATAGTCTTTTGCATAATTTATGATTAAACTTAGTAACTGACGACCAAATAAATGTATCCTTAATTTACTGCTCACCTGTATTACCCACTCAAATATTTAAGTGACTTTTCAAAGTGTCACAAGTTTATACAAAGAGTAAACTACACACCCAAAAAAAGACTATAATTACATAACACCATCCAGCTTCAGTCAATAATCAACCATGTAATTTAAAATTACAATGCTTAGTACAATGACTCCAGCTTAGCAGTAACCAACATACCAGAATTGCCATTCATGAGAACAGAAGAGAGAGAGTGATTAAGAGCTTGATCAAGTTCAATCCCCACTGTGTGCTTTGGCCTTATACCACAGTTAACAGAGTCAAGTAAATATTTAATTTCTATATCCTGTACACTTATCCTGTATGCAAATACATCAATGTCTTTAGACTAATGATTAAAAAAAAATAATATATTTTTCAACATAATCATCAATAAACTTAATTCAATGTTGAATATTAATCACTTCAATATTACACAGTGAATATTTCAGACCAAGATTCAGCTAAGTGTCAGTTTATGAACTTATTGATGGACATTAGTACAGTATATAAAAAGGTTATCAAGTATATTTTTTAAAGAATGTAATATATAAAAAGAAACACTTTATCAACTAAAAAGAACTACTGATAGTGTCAAATGACTTCATTTACTAAATTCAGAACAAATATCTTAAATGTTTGTAAAATCATTCATAATTTTAAAATATAAACTATCAGATTCAATGAAAAATTAAATATTGATTCTATTTCACCATTAAAAATGTACTTATATCGTTGCAGAGATTTATTCCTTCCATATTGAAAATTAAAGAAAAATATTTCATCAGTAATTTGATCTCAGATTCTGTACAAGTTGTACACATTGTTAATAAATGATATGCTTAATAAAACTTCAAAGGATTAATACAATCATAATGAAACTTACCGTCAATCTCTACATTGTTTTGTCCAGGTGGAGGCAGAGGATTTGTGTAATGACGCTGTTGAGGAACAATGGCAGGAAAAAAAAAAAAAAAAAAAAAAAAAAAGGGTGGGGGAAGAAAAAATAGAAATTGTAACTAAAATTTATCAAAGAAGAGATATTTAGATGGTAAAGAAGTTAGAATAGCAGCAAATAAGAGATACATTAATTACTATAGATTAATTTATATAGAAAAATAATATCTTAATTTCAAATATTTATACCAAAAATGTTTACCAAATATTTAAATTTTCTCTACAGGTTATTTCTGATATTGACTTCAATAAAAAAATTTTGCATTATAGCAAAACAAAAGTAGTTAATACTAAAAATAGTGTTTACATTAGAGATGGCCAGCTTAATCGAAAAACCAACTTTTTTGGTTTCATCTTCACACTATGAAACTGAAATCATTTGTTTTTTGGGTTTTTTTAAAATTGATATTACTACTGAGTGATCATATCCAAAGAAACACTATTGAAAAAACTATTGAAAAAAAAAAACTTTCAAATGTTAAGAAAATTAAATTTTATCAACATTTATACCATTGTAAGAGAAAAAGATTGAACCAAAATATGTTGAAAACATTTGACTAATTTTAAGAAATAAATGTGAAATCTATTTGTTTACAAAAGAAATGAAAAAAAAAAAAAAAAAGAAAATATGACAGATATGACACTTGGAAAACATGGCATGATGTATGAAATCTATTTATTTCAGTTTAAAAAAAACTAAATAACAAAATAACAAGCAAAAACAAAAAAAGTAGTTGCCAGTTTCGTCTTAATGTTAAATTTTATGAAGTCAGATTTTTGGTAATGGTTGTATGTAATTGTTTTCTATTAAACCAATCACAAAATAAATTGAAAAATGAATGAAGATTTTTTTTATGAATAAATTGTTTTTATCTAGAGAATGCCCCTAAATTAGATATTAAGAATAATTAAAATAGTTCTTGATTTCACTTTTAAAATGTGTATATTTCTAGATATGCGAGTCTCTAGTGTATTATTGTTTGTTTTCTACAAATAAAATTATGTTTCTATCTATATTAAAAAAATAAAGTTTTAATCTCAGTTTTAAAATGTGCATATTTTCAAAATTGCAAATCATTTTTTTTTTAAACCCAAAGTAAAAATTCTTCTTTTTTAGCCACTAGTGTTCGGTGGGTGCTCTGCCTATAAAATTCTTCTAAACAAGGAAAATTAATTAATTTTACTTTTTAATTTCTGTTTTAAATTGTGTATTAAAAAAAAAAAAAAAAAACAACAACAGTTTGAATTTCATAGGTGCAGTGTTATTGATAATTATTATACAGTATTACAAAGAGGAAATGCATAAAACTTACCACATCTGGATTTTGTCCACATAATTCATCTATGCAAACAAGCAAGGACTTCTTATGGAACTCATCTTGTATGCCCATGTCCTATAATAGCAATAAATGTATAGTCAGTGAAACATTAACATTGATTTTACATGTTGCACATTTCATGTGTTAGTTAATAAACAAATCCTTAATCTATAGTAACAAGATAGGAAGAGTAAAATGGAAAGATACAAAATACTGAATAAAGTTTAGAAGAATGATAAAAAAAAGTTTTTACTATTTCATAATCAAAAGTAAGTAAAAAGAGTATAATTTAACAACAGTTGCTAGAAGTGTAATTTTTTTAAAATTTTAATAAAGAAAAATGTAAGAAAAGTCTAATTATTTATGATATTTATTTTTATATATATATATATATATATATATATATATATATATACACACACACACACATATATATATATATATATATATATACACATATATATATATACACACACACACATATGTGTGTGTGTGTGTGTGATAATGATATTAAGAATAAGAATTATAAAGAAGTAATAGAAATGTCAAGAAAAAAAATAGGAAAGAATTATCAATATAAGAGCCCAGCTAACACAACTGCCCCAGTCTTTTGAACAGGAGTAAAGGTTTATCCATTGTTTCTTGTCTAGGATTGGGTTTCCAGTCCCTTCTAAATTCTACTTCAACTTTAAACTTCTAGTGTGTCTGCCTAAACTCTGAAATTTATTCTATTATTGGGTTTCTGATTTCTTCTTAGTTTTTTTTTTTTTCCTTCTCTTTCACTTTGAGTAGCCCCTTGTATCTTCGTGGTGTTATCACCTTGATTGCAGTATATTAATAAAAAAAAAAAAAAAAAAAAAGGATTAATACAGGGTGATAAATAATGAATGACATTAAATGCAGTGTTTATTGACTTGCAAATAAGCTTAACAGTTTAAATTAAATATTAAATGAAATTAAATGCATGTTTATAAATATTCAAACTGATAAAGTCAAAAAGTGAGTACATTTTTTGGGGACACCCTACATTAATCATTATAAGAATAAAAAACAGGATTAAAAGTAATTTGAGAAAATGGTTAATGCATTTTTACTTTCTTAGAAAACCAACTTCATGAAACAGATATGACAAATTTTCAATGTCATAATTTGTTGCATTAAGCAGTTTTTATGAATTGGAAAGAGATTCCCTTAAGCAAATGACCAATACAGAAAAGGTCTGAATAATTGTTGAACACACCATTAATCTCTTCTCATCCATATTCTTTAGATCAGCGCCAGTAATGTTTTGTTCACGGAACAATTCAGCATAACGATACAAATTTAAAGCAGCCAGCCAATCTGATACATTTGCTACCGTCCATTGTTCCACTGACTAGAAAAGAAAATAAACTAAATTAGGCTAAAGAAAAATTTTCAAAAACCCAAAATTGCTAATAATTAATTTTTCTTAGAATTGAAAATCAGAACTTATTTCAGAATCAGTTTGAAGCATCTTTAATTAATATTTTTTTGCTGATAAACTTTAGCAATACTTTACAAATGATTCTAAATTTAAAATAAAAGTTATAAATTATAAATTTATTGTTATCATGTGAATAGAAATTTATGAGAACATTTTTATTAATAGATTTATGATAGATGCTTAGTTTTAAGTCATTACCAGTACAGTTTAACATATCAAGGAAAAGTAATGTATTGTTTATGCTTCACAAGTAAATTCTATCATGTCTGACATTGCTTACTTTATCTACAAGATCAGGAAATATTGTTTTGCAGAGATATATTAAAAAAGCATCAACAACATATTTGAAATACATTGAGTGTTTAGGTAAAATACTTTGGAAAAGAACAGATTCAAGAAATTCTAATAAAAGACAAGCTAAAATTCAGTTAAGAAGTAACTGATAAGTTGAATTTTTGTTTATAAAAATCATTAAACATAAAATAACATTGGTTTGTGATGTGTCAGAAAAACTTTTATGATTTTATCAATTGGTAAAGAGGTTCATTTTTGATTGAACTAGACATTTAAAAAGAAACATACAAGTATTTGTTGACAGTAATGAAGAAGGAGGGTTTGAAAAATCTGATACTCACAGGACAGAGAGAGGGCAAGAGGGAAGGAAGACAAAAAAATAGAACAAAGGAAGACAAAACATAACATACTTAATGAGTAAATGGATGGCAGAACAGGTCTTAGGAGAAATAACAGAAAGACAAAATTTATTAAAAACTACAAGGGACAGGAAGTTGTGGAGAGCCATGAATGCCTACATCCTGAGGAGACATGGCACATAAAAAAAAAAAATATTGGCATAAAAGGTATTTGACATCTAAGTTATGTGCATAAAATGCATGGGTAGTGTAGAAGATATCAGTATCAGAGTGTATTTAAGAACATTGATAAATTTATTCCAAGTTTGGGATGTAACGATATAAACATACTATTTTTGTAATGATGTCTAAACAAAAAATACAAAATGACCGATATATTATATATAGAAATAATTAATTTTTTTTTGTTTAAAACTGAATTTTATAGCATAAAATGGCACAAAGTTTGTTTTTTTTGTACCATAAAAACAACACCACATATAAAATGAAAAGAGCTACACAAAACAGAGAATTAAGCAATACAAACCACACAATGATCAGGTGGATCTAAATGAGTGGCTCTTTCCCGACTACAAACTGTTGTTGCAAGCACTCCAACAGAACAAATTCCATGGCAGCAATAAGCACAACCTAAAACAATACAAGCAACATCAAATCATTTTCTAATATTAAATAATGGATTATATTATTATATTAAAACAGAAAGTTAATTCAACAGTTGAAGTGACAATACTTTTTTTTATTATTATTATTTATTCAAATATATTTTTATTAATCAGTATAAGATAAAGAACAAATAAGAAACGTTTATCAATCTAACATGTTTCACTTTTATTAAAGCTTCAGAGAATAGAGAAAAAGAAAGAAATTTTTAATTCTGTGTTTGATTTTCATTGGTTAACCAGATTTCGTGAAAATCAAACAACACAAAATTAAAAATACCAGAATTTCTTCTCTCCTCCCCCATATCTAATTCTCTGGTAAAGCTTTTAATAAAAGTGAAGTATGTTAGATTGATATACATTTCCTATTTGTTATCATTCTGTCAGATTCTGATCTATATTTGATCCCAACTCATTAATCATTATCTATAATTTCAAGCTCAAAATCGATCCTAACCTGTATTATATACAATGATTCTTCAGATGTTCTGTATTGGTGAGAACAACAAGCTACACCTTTCAATATTACAAAAAGTGATGACATTATACATGCCAGGAGTGGAACAACATAATTACTATAATGGAAAAACAGAATCATTTATATGATCATATAAATCCAATATCAATTCAAATATTAACAGGCTTTGGCAACTAAGAGCAAGAAGACTTAGTTACTATATTTTTCATTTATCAGTACACAACCATATCACACAAAGAGATAAACAAATACTGCATTTAGGATACTTCATTGGTGAGGTCTAATTTCTACTGAAACAGCTTCTTTCCACAAACGACAACTTTGTGGAACTGACTTCCGAGAAGTTGCTTCCAGGATCACTGTAGACTTAACATGTTCAAGTCTAGGATTAATGGTTATCTTCCCCCACGTATCCTCATAACATCTTACTCTGTAACTGTCTACCTTGAGTGGCTCTTGGGCCTTGTACAGAGTTGACATTAATGTTAAAAGAAAGAAAGAGAAAGATGTATGGGCATAAAATGTGCAGGTAGCGTAAAGGTTATCAGTCCAGGAAGTGTAGTCAGTGAGCCAAAAAAGAAAAGAAATGAATTTGTCTCTTCTCCCCTTCCCCCAGCAATGGATTAAATAGCAGAATAAACTAGACTCTAGTTTTGGGTGATAACTAGTCTAAGTGAAGGAAAACTGAATTTTAAACCATGGAAAACACAAAGGGAAATCCCTTCATCTTTCCCAAGAGGCCATGGCAATTCATTGAGGATAAAATAAAGGAATCTGTGGAGAGTCATGAGCACTTCAACCCTGAAGGGATAGGGTATTTAGGAAATTTTAGCATGTAAGTAATATAACAATAGTGCTTTTTGTAACTGAAATATATGAAATAATTTTTTAAGTCAATAAGTGTGGTATTTCACAGATCCACAGGAAAATACCTCCACATACTTTTGGGTGACAAATTATTTTCTATTGTAAGAGTTTTTTGTCACTGATCAAATAGGTTGACATTTTATTTTCAAAGATGAACAGACCACAAGTGAAATCAAAGCAAATGCTTCATGATTTGCAACTGACTTCAAACAAAAACTACAGAAATCACTTTGAAAAGTATGTCATGCTTTATGTTAGCTTCAAAAAATTTAATCACATTATACTTACATAACATTCTTACATATTTTTTTCTAGCTAAATTTAGAATCTCAATCGTGTAATAAACAGATTTCTCCCAGTTCAGTAATTTCTTAAACCGAGTTATAAATCTGTAACGTACCTTCACATTTCATGCTTTCAAGACCACACCCCCAAATGTAGTCATGACCTACAAAACAAAAATATTTACAATATAGGGTTATTTAGAAATATGTATAATAAAAGGAAGAAATAGATATGATAAAAAAAAAAAAAGGGAATAAACCCATGTTTATTATGTTAAACAAAAAAGAAAAAAAAACTATTTCCCTGAAATTAAATGCATTAAATTTGATTGACAGATCAGCATAGTGAAAAATCATTCTCTGTAAATAAAAATGTTAAGAGTTGGGTCATAAAAATCGGCACCTTACTGACACTAAATACATTTATAAGTAAAACAGTTTTATATTAAAAATATCTCCTTTTTTTTTTTAATATAGAATTTTAACAAGACATAGAAGTTCCTCAAAGTGCAAATTTAATCAGCTCTAATAGCTGATAGACCAAATATTGAAAGATTTGTTTTTTTATGCTGGGAATTTGTAAACTTAGCAGATAGAAATAGTATCATTAATAATAAAACGAATACTCACTTACAGGTACATAGGATTTTAAACAAACTTTGCTTAATTTTTTTTCTATTATTCCTTTTTCATTACAGATTTTAAATTGAGAATATCACATAAAAATAAAACAAGGAAATAATAAATGATGCTTAGAAGAGATGGGATAAGTGTCTGATGAAAATATTTTCACTGTTTAAAAAAAAAAAAAAAAAAAAAAAGTATTTGCTTTCTGATAATAGATTTCAATGCGTACAGGGACAAACCAAATCATTTCTTGAATGCAAGAATCATTGTCTATTAACTATAACAACAAAAAATTATTCTATTAGTGTCCGCCCTTCCATCTTTGAAATAGTAAGCATTAATGCTTTCTAAGTATAACTACTTAGAGTGGATTTTAATTTTAATATAAACCTATAATACCAGATTTTCTTTTATAAATATATTTTATAATACCATATTTTTATTCTAATGTTTATAATTAATATCAGATTTTACAGAGAGCATTAATAGGTTAAATCTAATAAAATAGACTAATTACATCTCAGCAAAAAATGCAAATAAATTTTTATATTACTAGGCATTAATTTTGTATTCTAGTATTAATCCATTTCAGCAGAATTAATTTTTTTCTTTCTATTTTATAAAAGACAACACTGTTGCGACATAAGTGAAAAAAAAAAATACTCACAATAGAAACACAAGATGGGTCGTAGAAAGTAACTCTTTACTAATCTATGTGGTACACCAGGTGGCCCTATAATTAAATAAAATCATGCCATCAAAATATACTTAGTATTAAATGAATACAATCTTTAAATGTTGAGAGAAATAGGAGAAAATGTTACTTTTATATGAAGAAAATATGTTTACTAGAAAAAAAAAGGTTTGAAAAGGAGAAGAAAAAAAATAGTGTTCAGGAATAAGAATCTAATGATAAACTAGAATAATTGCTTCACAATAACATTCCTCAATTTTACACAATGATCAAATCATGACTACCAACCACTTTTCTGTTTAACTTGGACAGCAGCAGAGGAAACTGAAGGTTTGTCCACTGACGGTGCAGCTTCACCTGAAATAAGAAAATGTAAGCAGCTTCTGTATTGTAGACAGATCTCAAAGAAAATTCATTAAAAACAAGAAGTGAATTAAATACCTAATAAAAAATATAGACATTACTGAATTAATAACTAAATATTTACTGAGTTTATCTTATTTGGACACAAGGTCAAATGGAATCCAAATCCAAATCTAGGGCGTTTTTACTCCTGTTGGAGGAACACCTCCCTGATTGATCAGGTCTTCAGTGGGTGTAGCTGTACTCACCATGCTTGGCCAATTGCAGGTTGTTGACGCTAATTAACCCATAGTTGGGGTGAATGGCCATTGATTCTGAGGAGTTCATCCACCCTTTATCCAAATGGGATAAATAGGAGTTAGTAAGTTCATGTTGCAACAAGCTCCCATGTGAAGAAGGCCTGCCTATCTTCCTTGAAAAATTTGCTTTTGCCTGGATTTTAACACATGCAACTATCTCAGCCAGGAGGTAAGTCCGGGGAGAAGTGTGAACCAGAAGATATATATTCCCCTATCACCTGTTCACACTTCTTCCTGGTCATATTAACAGTAGTATAGGTTTATCCCTCGTTTCCTGTTTAGGATTGAGCTTCCAGTTCCTACTAAAGTTTTCTAATTCTCTTTCATTCCCAATAGCCTCTTGCATTTTAGTGGTATTATCACTTTGCTTGGGGTAAATTGATTTAAAATAAATAAATAAATAAATAAAATAAGTAAATACAAAAATAGAGGTTTTCATAATGATAGTATTATCTACAAGGATTTTTCTTATGTGTGCGGAGTATTGGGCATTCAAGTGCTTCCTTACCAAAAAAAAAAAATAAATAAATAAATATCATGGTGTGGCACCATGCATCCAGGCAGAGAAAGAAAGGCAAAAAGGGAAAAGGAAAGAAAAGGAAGGGGAAAAGTAATGCGAGACGGATCATAGGCGAACACACACACGCGGCTTAAGAGGCAATAAAAAAAAAAAAAAAAAAAAAGGTTATTTTGGATAAGTGGCACATGGCGAAAAGAGTGTCATTACAATGACAATGAGATTGAGTGGGTAGGGAAGTGTTATCTAAACTATTGGTACAAGAAGACATCTTACTATCAAAACACAGGCCACCATCCAAGGGAAAAATTCCAGCGAAAATGTTATTTCGATAAGTGACAAGAAACAGGCGGAAAAAAAAAAAAAAAAAGACTTTTGGACAGATATGAAAATTAAAGGCCACCTGCGAGCAATCATTGACTGATTTCCCTACTTGGCCTGTGCGAATGGAATTGTGTTATCAAGAAATGTTCGCCAAAGAAAGTCCACTTGAAAACGTTAGATTTTGATAATTGACAAAACACAGGTGTAGCTTGGAGCCTTAGCTGGATATGGAAAATTAAAATCCCACACAAGCCGTCTTGCTATATTAAGCTCTTTTCGACAAAACAAACTTTTGCCCTGCGATAGTAAAATTTTGTTATCAGACACATGAACCGAAGGAAAATGAATGGAATAAGAAATGTTTTTATTTCTGCCTTGGAGACGTCTGACTGACTGAAAACTTGGAGAAAATTCTTTTCTAAGACCATGTTGGAAAACCAGCCGTCTGATGAATTGGCAATAAACTGCTTGACAAACGCCACGTGTTGAACAAAGAGTTGTCATATTATCCGTTCATGATAACAGCGATTTAATTAATTTTTTTTAGTTAAGCAAGGTATTTTTTTTCCGAAACAAAGCCGCGGGTTGTTCACGCCCGACTAAGACATCATTGGTCAAGCGGTGATCACATGACGCACGAAGGGGAGGAAAGATACCCGACCAAGACCTCATTGGCCGAGTGATCACGTGGCGACGAAGAAGGCTGTTGACGCCCCCATCCAGAGTATAAGTATGAGAAGCCGCTACGAAGAAGTGGGGAGGACAGTTCACGCCCCTCAGAAGCATGGTGAGAAAGTGGGAGTGAGAAAAAAGGTTACCAAAAATGGAAAAGAGTGGAAAGTCCCTAACCAGAAATAAAAGAGGTGGATACGTATTTAGAATTATCGAGGAACTCCCCGACGCCAACAGACCCAACCCGGTTTTTGTCGGCATCAATAAAAACCAGGCCCCAACAGGCAGAAATCAGTTCGGACCCAAGTGGCCAGTAGTTCGGACCCGGGCGGGCAGAAGGCAGTTAGTTCGGACCCGGGCGGGCAGAAGGCAGTTAGTTCGGACCCGGGCGGGCAGAAGGCAGTTAGTTCGGACCCGGGCGGGCAGAAGGCAGTTAGTTCGGACCCGGGCGGGCAGAAGGCAGTTAGTTCCGGACCCGGGCGGGCAGGGCAGAAGGCAGTTAGTTTCGGACCGGGCGGGCAGAAGGCAGTTAGTTCGACCCCCGGGCAGAAGGCAGTTAGTTCGGGCGGGCAGAAGGCAGTTAGTTCCGACCCGGGCGGGCAGAAGGCAGTTAGTTCGACCCGGGCGGGCAGAAGGCAGTTAGTTCGACCCGGCGGGCAGAAGGCAGTTAGTTCGACCCGGCGGGCAGAAGGCAGTTTAGTCCGGACCGGCGGGCAGAAGGCAGTTAGTTCGACCCGGGCGGGCAGAAGGCAGTTAGTTCGGACCCAGAAGGGGCGGCAGAGATGATAGACCAAGATAGCTGACCAAGATTCATTAAAATTTCGGACTCCTCTTCAACCAAGAACAATTATTTTGAAGAGCGACTTAGAACCAGACCACAGAAATAAGTTTTCGAATTTTCGTCCAAAGACACACCCAAAACACAAATTTCTTAGAGAGCAAACAACTTGAAGCGTTAAAACTTGCCTAGCGAAAAGCGATGTGTCACAATCCACAGAACGGGTCGGGAGATAGATGCAGTCCTATGTATCGAACAACTAGACAAAGTTGTTACCTTTTTTTCTTTGATACTTTGAACTTTTTGAGTTTTCATTTTATTTTCTTTTATGCATATTTGTGTGTTATCACCCTGTTGAACTCAATTTGCATTATTTAACCCTGTTTGATCTCGTCTGTCTAAGATCAATTCACAACGTGAGTAGGCAGACTGGAGATCAGTGCAGTTACCTTGGTAACCAGGCATTGGAAGCAGGTTGGGAGCGGTGAGGCTGATATCAAATCTAACCAGATTCCCACCGAATCACCAAAAAAGGTTAGAACGTCACATTTGGGTGCCGCGACTGATACCAAGCCAGTTGGTGCGTCACAGTACGAGACAACACGACTGACCACGACAGGCGAACGTCACGTTTGGAGCAGCGACACCTGACGGAGCAGCGAGGAGCGAACAGCTGGCGCCGCGGCGAAGACGTCACAATTGGTGCTGTTTAGGGACGTCACAAATTTTTTTTTATATAAGATTTTAATTTGCACTTGTTTCAACTTCCTTGGACTCCACTAAGTTTAGCTTATGGCTCCACTAATGAAGTACTTATTATATAAAAAAAATTTTTTTAAAAAGTGCAAACAATGAATTGCAGATTGATCATTCCAATATCCAAAGAACATCAAAATAACTGCTTTCAGAACATTTTTATTAATAAATTTGCATAATTATTTGTTTAAATTTATCAAATGAATAAGCTATTTCAATCTGAGTGCAAAACATATCTAATAAAATAAAACTAAAGATCTTAAAAAAAAAAAAAAAAAAAAAAATCATGTAAGTTTAGTCAAGGTTTATAAACCCTTTCCCATGTTACCAATACATAAGTAGAGAACCAGTGCTTTCCCTCTGCAATGACCTACACTTTTACATACATAAACTACATACTATATCAGATTCTATTATGAAAGTCAATGTTCTCAAAATACAATAAGTATTAATCAACCCAACCAATGAAGGTAAGAGTTTAAGGATATATTTATATAAATATACCATGCAACTGAGATTTGTTTTTTATGGCTTAACATTTTGCAGGTTATTCAAAGCCATCAAATATTTTTGAATTTAAGAATTTAGGGAAGATAATCCTTTACTGATGCAAGTTCTACTAATTAATCCATAGCTGAGGAGAGAAGAGATGGATTTGTACATGGATTTGTAATGTTAATAAGTGACAAGAATGCAAGTTTGGAATGGCGAATAAATTGAACAGAGATCATAGAACAATCAAAGAAATTGAAAACATTGGCAAGGTAATAACAAGGAAAAACGTTTTTTTTTTTAAGAATATCATAAAGGGATCTATGGAAAATTAAAAAAAAAAAAAAAAAAAAAAGATGCAGAATATAAAAACACTGATTAAAGACATAAAAGCAATCAAACTATGACCTTTAAATAAACATTAAAAAGAGAAATGAGCAAGTTGGGTGAAAAAGTAAATGAAACAGTCATGGAAATATCCAAACAACTTGGAAGATAATAATTGGAGAGGTGGAATAATGTTTTGGGCTAGTATTATAGGAATTAAAATTTATAAGTCCCTTCAAAGTTGATCATGGCATCAAGATAAATGAAGTGAATTATTATAAGTTTTTGGACAAGACATTTTTTGATAAGGAGGAGGAAGAAGTCTTAAGTCTGGATTTTCCAATATCGCCCAACCAATAAGAAAATAGTGGGTGACTGGAAATTTTGAGTAAGTATCAAAAAGGTATTTCAACACATTCCACCCAGAAAAAAATATCCATAGAAGATATGCAAAGAACCTGTATTTAAAAAAAAAAATATGCCTAAATGAGAATAACTGGTCCAGATTCCTAGAAAAGGTATAAATATCCCCAGAAACAAGGAATATTTTCTTTTTTTTTGTTTTGAGAAAGGTCATTAGCAATCAAAGTTCTTCAGTATTAGACCGGAAAAAATATTTGCCAAATTTTTATTAGTTTCTAGTACTTATCAATTTTATAGTTATGAACAAAAATCGTTTTTTTTTGTCAACATTGCAACACTAACCCTAAAACTCGACAATACTGTTTTGATGAACTACTAGCATTGAAAGAACATGAAAACTGGTAGGGTTTTTTTTTTTTTTTTTTTTTACACACACTATTGTTCAACCAATAAAAGGTCTAAGAGATACTCAAGATAGAGGGTTATTGAATAAGGTTGTTTTATAGCTATAAGGAGGAGAAGGTAAAAAGTGAAGATTATGAGGATATATTGGATAGAACACAGTTTCACCAACATGGTAATGAATGGGAAAGCATCCTCTCAGGTGTATTTCACCAAGTAGCAATTCTTAGGAAAAAGCTGTCCGAGTGGAAATGCCTTCTCACCAATAGAATAAAAAAAAGGAATGAAGAGGATTCAACCCTGTGTACATGGTGTGGTGAGTTTTAGCTGTAAAGGTCTTAACTGGTGGAACTAAGGAATGTAGCTCATTTGAAGCTTTATAGTGATAGGCTTATGACAGCATCAGTCATAAAGAAGCTGTTGGATTCCCTCAAAGAGTAGAATTCTGATTACTTAGTCATAGATGTCATTGAAAGCACATACATGTAGTCATAATCATAGGCAATAACACAATACTGAGTTAGTGACTTAAATTTATTGATTGTTTTCTACAGCTTAACCTTTTGCAGGTTATTTAAAGCCAGAATTTATTTTTTTTTTTAGATTGTAAGAATTTTTTTTTTCCTCAATAATGACTTAGTGAAAGAAGTCTTACTAATTAACCCATAACTGGGAAGGAGAAAAGGTAAATTCATACCTTTCTCAGAGGTATTTGAGCGTAAGTAAACTCTGCTCTCAGATTAACAATTCCAAGCCCTTATCCATTACACCACCTGCACATCCAAGCTTGCAGCACCTAGTATTCCCAAGCATATAGGTATTGATCAGGCTAGGTGCATTGCTTAACTTCGGCAATCCTACAGGAACCAGGTTTTCAATGCAACATGGCCATAAGCTTTAATGTCTTAAATAGAATGCTGTAATAGTAGGACTGGGTTTCTGGTTGCTTCTAAAGTCTTCTCATTTTCTTTCCTTCTCGGTAACCTCTTGCATCTTAGTGGCATTATTGCTTTACTTGGGGTGAATTGATAAAAGAAAAAAAAAAAGTCAACCAATTCTGATAAAGAGAAAGAAAACTACTATTCTATAATTATTTATTACAAAAATAATTTCACTTCTTGTCAGTCTTCTTACTTTTGTATTAATTTTTTCTAAGGAATTTCGTTTTCCCTTGATTTAACAAAAGACAAACTTCAATGTCTTTCATGCTGTTCCATGTACAGTTTGATTATAGATTAAATTTTCAACTTTAAGAAAAAAAAAAAAAAATTACTTTTGCCTGTAGGAAGAATTTGGTTTCTTTCAGCCTTTATGTAATTTCAAGTTCTATAATACTTATTCATTTAAAAAGAAAAAGAAACTTAACCCCCTATGAAGGTTAAAAAGCCCAGTTTGCCTTACTATTTAACCCACAGCTGGTAGAAAACACATTCATGTGTTTTTTTGTTTTTTTTTTTTTTTACAAGAGTATTAGCACAAAATAGATTTGATCAGAATTTGAACTCAACATGCAGATTCCAATTTTCACAACAAACAAATTAAGTGCATTAGTTTCAAGAAAACAGCAATTAAAATATTCATCCTTTTTAATTAGAAAGAAACCCTGTTTTCTACTAGTCCTGACCATTTTGCTTGATTTACAGCTAGAGGATTTCACAGTCTCATTCAAATCCTAATATTTTTAACTGCATAGGACTTACAGGATTATACTCATGAATTAAAAAATATAACCACATTTAGTATATAATAACTAGTTCTTATAATTAAAAATTGCAACATTATTGCAAAAATTAATAAAATCGCCTTTACTAAACTACCATTATAGACTCTGAAAGAATCATAATCACACACAAAAAAAAAGTGAACTAATGCCAATCTTCTGTTCACTTTAACTTTTCACTCACAATTGGCAAATACCCAATGCCTGGAAAAATATTAAAGTTAGTCAATATCTCAAAAGGTAAATCAGTTCAACTCATTCAACCAATACATTAACTGTTTTAGCAGTTGGAAAAAATGCCACAGTGCACTATTAAACACTCTTCTTTCTTGGTGATCCTCCACACATTTTTTGAAAACCATTAAAATGAAATTCTATATTATTGTAAAAGGTTCAGGTACACCTTCAAATATAATAAATGCTTAATACATAGAAAAGTGTGTGAAGAAAGAGAAAGAGATATTAACTCAACTACATATCCATGCTTCAATGATGGCTTTTGACTGGGCTCCAGACTAACGTTTCCTACCATCACTCCAGAACCATCTCAAAAAAAAACAATTTTAATCATACTGAAAAAATCTTAAACTATCCCAAAATCAATTTTTCTTTTCTTAATTTTATCATTTATAGTTCAGGAAATAAATTAAAAATGTTAAAATATTAAAGTTTTTACAAATGAATAAATACAAAAAATTTAGTTAAATTTTAAAGCAATTTTTACAAAAAGTAAAACTTGAACATTACAGTTAAATCACCTTGAATAATTTTATTCAGAAATGTTATTAATTTTCATGCTTAGAGTAACTTATCCTACTTTTATTTAAGAATTCATTTTCTATATAAAGAATATTAATGATTTCCAACTATTCACAATGAAAAAAGTTTTTAAAGTCTTTTCTAAAAAAATTTACAATGACATGGCTCGTATCATGACTAAATTTTCTGTTTACCATTTCTTAAATTCTCCCTTGTATTTTCAATTTAGTTTATGATAAACTAAAAACATAACACATAAATGTTATTTGCTAGTGTTTCATTCAAATTTTTTTAAACAAAGAGGGAAAAAAAAAATGTAATTTTCTTGCCTCACTTATTAAAAGCAAAATTAGTTCTTATAAATAAATCATAATATTTTTCACATTTAGAGATAAATAAAACAAAATGTCTAAATTTAAGTCTGCCAACCTTCATTTTTTTATTAGAGTTACATTCACCAGTTTAAAAGTAAGCACTTAAGTTTTTGTATGACTGTGAACACACGTGTTAAAAGCATGCCACTATTGGTGAGAATAACTTTTTTTCATAAATTTACTTTCCAAATAAATGTAATAGAATTTTATTTCAAATTTTTTGTTGTCCCAACATTGTCAAAAAAATAAAATAAATAAAGAAATAAAGAAAACATTCTTGCATCACTGGGATGACAAGCTTGCACCTTTGTCACTACAAGTCTTACCAATCTTTGTTTTTCGTTTTAACTTTATATCAAAATCTTCATACTTTAACAAGTGACTTACTGATAAACATTTACACTTAACAAGAATTTAAGACAACATTTTTTTTTAACTAATGTTCACCCAATACAAGGCCCAAGTGCCACTCAAGATAGAGCTTTACTGTGTGGTATTGTATTAGCATTAGAAAGGGCAAGAAGTGAAGCTCTTTGGGCTATGCCTTAAAGATAACAGCTAACTCTACAATTGAAGAGGTCAAGATTTAATTAGGGAATAACATTTCAGAGTTCAGTTGGAGACATTAGAAGTATAGTGTAGAAGTAAACTTTAGAACAAACCAGAAAACCAATCCAAAAAAGGAAACAAGAGATAAACATCTACTCCTGTTCAAGAGGCTGGGGAGGTGTTTGAACCTAGTAATTTTTTTTTGTAATCAAAATCTAGTTAAACTCTTCAGCATTCAACCCACACTGTAACCCATCCCATGTAAACTGTAATAATATATGATGACATCATCACAAATAACACAGGAAATCAGGCAAATCGTGAGGCTTAGAAAGACAATATTTACAGGGTGGGTTTGAGCATGTTGAATGCTAAAAGGTTAAAGCACATATCCTTAAACAAAAAAGGAGGAATCATTTAACTTCATGGCACAATGATAAATTTGCATTAAACAATTCGTAATAAAATGAATGCTTTCCAGAGCAGATACTTACATTGATCGGTAGGATTTGACTCATCAAGATTGTCTTTACTTGGCGGAACATTCATGGGTCGAGGAGGGAGATTAGGAGACTGATCAGGAACTTTTTTCAAAAACTTGACGAAATTTCCAGGAAAATACCCGAAAACATTCTTATTCACATTTCGACCTTGAAACCAACCATCAGGATTTTCAAGCGTTCCTTTTAAGTTGAATTTAACAGGGGTCCTGACTTCAAGGATATCCCCTTTTTCCATAAGAATATCCTCTGCGTCATCTGGCTTAGGGGTATAGTCGAATTTAGCTACGTAGGTGTAGATTTCCTCCATGGCGCTGATAATTCATCAGAGCAAAAGAGTCAGTCAAAGCTAGAAAGAAAATAAAAAAAAAACAATTGAATCAAGATTTGCAAGATTTTGCATCAATGAATCAAATATTTTCAGGTTTGCTAATATTCCATTCTACATGCAACACCTAATTCAAATGTTTTAGGACTGACATTAAAATTGTAACTCATTTAATTCTTTTTAATTTTTTTAAATACTAGTTAATACTAGTTAAATACTAATTAACAGAAATTAGCAGAAGTGTGTAACTTAAATGTCTAATATGGAACCTTTGCACTGACTATAAATAAGAATATTTATAAAAAATATCATACAACGTATTCTACAGTTGTGTGCACAGCATAGCAGTTATTAGCAGAGAAAGTGGGTCTGGTGTGTAAAGTTCAAATTCTAGCCAAGGCAACTGCATTCACAAATACCCTTTAAATTAATCCAAGGGCAGTCTGGGGTCTCTAGCTATGGTTAGCAACCAGTCTAAGAGAAGGACAACTGTAAATTCAAATACACATTTGGACTAGCAACCCCAACTCAAACACCTACTTACTACAAAAACCTTAGCAGCAACATCGAGCGTAGTGAGGCTGTGGCACTGTACTCCACAAAGGGAGTTTACAAAGATAACACACATACAAGTCTTCTACATATGCTTCGATAAAATGAATCATCTTACTGTATCAAAGTTCACTTGTAAACTACAATAAAAAACATAACAAGTTAAACTTTGTACATAGTCATGCTAGTAAGTCAATTATTTTCTTGTATCACAGTTTGAAATCACACCCTACACAAATATTTACTGCCTTCATACAATGACAGATAAAAGTTACTTAGAGTACTAATGGAGTATACCTTTGTTAAATTTTATACTTTTTTCCTTAAACAAGCATAAAAAGGACAAGCCAAATTTGATCAAAACAAAACACAAGCAATTGTTACAATCTACTCTCCAAATTAAACAATAATAACTTATTTTACTTCATATAAAATAAATTAGAACTTGGATTTTTACTAAGCATGCTACTGATTTGAAAATATTTAAAAAGTAAATTAAATAAATTTTAATAATTTAATATTTAGTAATTAAATATAATCAAAATTAACTTGGAAAATTCTTTAGCTAGAAACATTTTTAGTGAAATTTAATACTTTTTTTTTTTTTGAGTTTCTCATAGGAACAATGTCTTGTTTCAAAAACTGAAATTTTATTTTACTTTTTATTTTAAATAATGCTTCAAAGAGAATTTGATTGAGATTTTGCATTTTTACATGTTATCTGCAAATAGAATTGAAACAATATCAGTTTTTCTATTTTATTCCTTTTGGAAGATTTCTTGACATTCTCTTTAAAGTTCTATGCAGGAAAGACTGACCAAAACACAGGCAAACATTATTTCAAGTCATCCTAACTCCCCCCCCCGTTCTTTTACAAACATTTTAGGACAATTTTTTTTTTTTCTTCCTTGAGTGAAGACCTAAACTTTAAGACACGAGCTATCTGTTTTAGCCACTATATACTATAGTTATTTTGCTGATGCAATGTTCAAGGATATTTCTACATGCAAGAAATTAACATTGAAACATTATTATGTATGTTCATTAATAAAATTATAAATATTCTAAGAAATAACCTTATATGCATATATTACCAACAACAAAAAATGACTATCAAACACACACACACACAAAATGTAAGGTGATTAATATTTAATGATTTTAAGATAATGTGCCAGTTTTATTGTCTACTCAAACATTATTATAAATTTTATATATTTTATTATTTTATAGTTAACAGCAACTTGGCTTATTCACAGATAATACACAGGAACTGGTTCACTGAAAATACCAATATACCAGTCAAAGTGGAGATAATGGAACAAAGTGGAAAATAATTTTTTTTTTTTTTTTAAATGACAACACGTTTTACCAACATATTTGATGTGTTTAGGTCGGAATGAAAGACAAAACTGTGTATAAGAAATGTGTTGGGACTGTTGAGGTTAAGGAGGGCAACATATTGCCTTATCAAACCCAACAACCAGAAAGTGTTTTTTTTTTAGAACCATTGATGTCTGTTGGATTTTAAATTACCCTACACCAAGTAGATCTGTGTTTTCTCTATTAGATTGTATGTCACATTGTGTTACTATTGCTTTTGCAATGATATCATGTATGGTCCTGGTCTTACAGTCATTGTCAAGATTTGTGAGATTAGCACACTCTCAATACATTTTCTTCTTAATGAATCCTTTTCTCCCTGATTAGACTGGCATCAAAATTGTGGTCAGATGTACTACAGGGAACTACCTGTGCATTCTGGTCATAAATCTATTGATAATTTATTGCTCAATGCATTTTCTTTACACACAGTTTTGTCATTCATTCCAACCTGATGACACCAAATCTAACATGTTAGCAAAATGTGCTGTTATTTAAAAAAGATTTTCCACTTTGTTCCATTATCTCTGCTTGTTTTGTATACTATTCTACATCCTAATACACATAGCATAAAAATATAGTTTAAATAATTTGTCTGAAATAGTTTAACTATTCATTAAAAATATTACTACAGAATTATTACAAATGATGAGACAAACAAATTTTCAGAGATATTTAAAAAAAAAATTACAACATGGTCTGTGAAAGCTTATATTTGATATTTAATAAAACAAAATATCAATTAATTTCCAATAGTTGATTATTTGATTTGCATTTATTATACAACTATAAATTACAGATGATTTGTCAATGTCATTATGACAAAGATTCAATATTAGGAAAAGACAGTCACTTAAACCAAATTTTTAAACTAATCTTCATGTGTACATGAGTTTTTATGATTTGGCTAAGTACTTTTTAAATATATAATTTTAGGCATGAGAGAGAGAAAAAAAAAAGTCATTTTAAAAGATAATTACAATGTAAAAATATATAAATCAAAATTCATTTATTTTTAAGAAAAGGGAGATTGATAAATCAATAAAGTGTAAAAGCAATATTAACTACCTAAGAAGTGATATAAAATTTAAACGATTTGCTCCCATTTCAAATTTGAATCTAATTTTACCCCTCAGTATTCAGCTTAAATCTTAAACTGAAAAATGCATATTTTCTCTTAAACAATTAGAAAAGAAATGCAAATGTTTCTAGGCTAATCAACAAACACTATTTTAGATACATCAATCTAACATAAAGAGGAAGGGATTTTTACTAGTAGGGCAACATGTGACCCTTGGAATGTTACTTTCTATGGGTACACAGCAATTAAAAAACTAATTTAACAAAACAGATTGCAAGTGTTCTAATTTAGTCTTTATAATTTAACATAAAAATTTGGTGTTTTATTTTAAGATTTGTAAGCGTACTGCAATTAAAGAAAATACCTTAGGAAACGTCGCCTTGGTAATAAGGTGGTCCAAAAGTCTTGTCACCCACTACATAACATAATTTTCTACTTTAGATGGTTGACATGAGCTCCTACAGAGCTTCTTGATGTGACAGCGTCAATGAAAGTGAATAAACTGAATACTGTATATGGGCTTTGTATTACCACATTACTTGTTCTATTGCTCTCATTACTTTGTTGTATGGGGTGACAAAACTTTCGGACCACTCATTAAATATTTCTGATTCAATTTTTTTTAATTTCTTGAAAAGCATTAAGTATAATAAATAATTTTAATATATTGTTGAAAAATTCAAGAAGCAGGAATAAAGTTTTTGCAAATACATTGTTCAAATAACTTGTAACTGGTTATATAAAAACGAAAGTTAATATTTGCACTTAGTCATTAATTTCATATATATATATATAAAAACTTTTTTTTAAGTGGATATCTGTATTTAATAAGTTTCCTTGAATGCAAGCCAGTAGACAAAATATTTTATAAAATAAATGAAATGTCTACACAAAGTTAAAATGCAATTGTTTTAAAATATACAAGTGAACATTGAAGTCAACACTCAGAGGCAACAGCCTGTTTCATGCTAGACGCAATCGTCAGGCAGCCCGACGATTGTGTCTAGCATGAAACAGGCTTCAATGTTCATTTGTATATTTTAAAACAATTGCATTTTAATTTTGAGTGAACACTCGTTTATTTTAAACACTATTTTGTCCACTGGCTTGCATTCAAGGAAACTTATTAAATACAGATATCCACTTAAAAAAGTTTGTTATATATATATATATATATATATATATATATATATATATATGTGTGTGTGTGTGAGAGTAAGTGAGTGAGTGAGATGAAAATTCAGGCTGTCAGACTAGGTAAAGCTCTTTTTTACCATTTGTAAAAAAGAGAAAAGAAAAAAAAAAAAAGAATTTAATACAAACATTTTTTTTCTCTCAGGGACTGAATAAAATAAATGATCAACAATTGCAAAACAGATGAGACCAACAAGTTTACCAAAGAAAAAAAATATTCAGTAATTGTCAAGTAATAAAATAAGTTATGGCTGCTTAAAATAACAAATTCAGACAAGTTTTGTAATCTGAACTATTTTGGCAGGTTGAAAAAGAAAAAAAAAAAAAAAGTATTAATATGAGAGGATGCTGAAAAGTTGTTATTCAGGAAATGATTAGAAAAAAATAAAATTTCTGATGATGTGTTTGAATGTGAGATGAAGAGTTATGTTTTGGCTGTTTTTACTACCAGCCTTTTTCAGGTGTTTGCCAAGCCAGGTAACTTTCAGGGTTATTTCAAACTGAAACTTCTATTTAACTTGCAGGAGTACTCATTCTACTGTCCATGCCTAAGGATATCTTGGCTTGTTCTTTTGAGTAGTGCTCAGTTATTGCTAATCCAGTTTCCTCATAATCTGAGCCTGTACTAATCAAACCAGAGATTGAATTCACAATTAGTATATCACCCAATTCATAAACCAGCACTTTAATCCACTATCTACTGACAGCTAAAGAAGGCTGGAGAGCATAACAGCCAAAATGTTGTGATAACAACAACAACAAAAATGAGGAA